TTCTTTTTTCTGACTTCCACCCGTAAGTGTAATTTGGGGTTGGCAGAAGCAGGCCCATAAGTCACCTTTCCTCTTAACTCAATGCCTATTCACTGTGCCAGTGTTGTTTCCAGTGATTACAAGAGTGGAGCCAAGTCACCATCATCAATTCTGGAACAGAGTTCAATAAAATTATTCCTATTACTCTCACGGCAAACAGCAGAGCACACCAATATCTCCTACATCTTTGAAAAAGTTAAGAAGATTAGTTGGCCCCAAGCCTACACCAGGGCTCTGAACAAGAATGGCATTAGGGCAAAGCTGGTTCAAATCGGTCCAATAAGACACACTCACTAGATAGATCTCCCTTATCTGTGGGAACCATCTTAATCCCATCTCTCAGGCTTCTCTTAGGCCTTGTATTCATGCAAACTTGAATACTCATTGAATAGAAAAAGCCTGCCTATTTCTGAAATGTCTGATGTAATTAATTTCTTTTGTCAAAACTTGGCAAACACAGCACTTTGGGAGCCATAGAGTGGGGTAGGAAAAAATGTCCACTTCTGGGACTCATACTCTTTAGGCCCAGAGTCAGGTCCATGCCAGATTGTGAGATTGCATCCAGTGCTGAGAAGCCGGAGCTGTTAGACATTCAAGTTGTTCTTGCCCTGACCTGGTTCTGTGCACATTAAGCAAGTTTTGACTCCATCATTTCTCATTGGCCTTTTTTTTTTATTTTGCAATTGTCATCTAGGCTACTAATCTGTAGAAATTCCCATCACTGGGTCTTAGGTCTTGTTTGGGGTGGGGGATGTCAGGGTGCATCTCTGCTCCACAGTAGCCCTTTGGAGGTTTGCAGCAGCCATGTGTTCTTGAAATCTTTTCTTCCCCAGATGAAATGGCTCCAGTTTCTTCAACCCATCACCTAGAGACCCTCTCCCCTCTGACGCACGGGACCCAAAGCAGATGTTGTCAAAGGTCTGGTCCCCAGTTGATGTGCTCACCTTGTTATACTGCGAGCCTCTGGGGAGCTGCAAAAATTGTTCTAGAAAAGACAGTACAAACCAGACTAATTGGCAGCCCATCAAAAGCTGCTGTCTGGCCATTCTCCCTGAAGATAATAGAAAAAAGGAGAGAAAAATGTGACTATTTTATACATTAAGATTCTGCCCTGCTAACATTCCCTGATAACATATTACTTGCAGTGTCATGGGCAGGGCCCTTTTCTTCCTCTTAAATTTCCATATGAACTAGAATAATATTTGTGCCTCGCCAGCATGGCCAAGGGTGAACCCAAGTGGGGGTGGTGAAGGCTTAGAAAAGACAGAGAAGGAAAGCTGGAACTCGGTGGTATACTGCTTCTCTAATGGGGAACCAGCAGCACCACGGACTACAAACCGTGTCTTTATTTTATAGCAGATGCCACGAGGCGAAGTAAGGGTGTGGTCAAGATGTTCACAACATTCTCATGGGTTTCAATCCTACTCAGTTACATGCACCTGATCACGCTTTGTTTATTTGCAGCCTAGATCACTCAGGCACAGGGGCCACGTGTTCGGACCATAGCTTCAAGCTTACAACTGTAGCTGTTGGCTATCATTGTGCTGGGAGGGCTCTGCCCTCCAAGCTGGGACTTGCACGTGGCCATGAGAGGACCGTGCCCTCTCATCAGTCCAAGGCTTGAACCTGTTCAAAGACTGTAGCCACGCCCCACAAACATTGGTTCTTTTTCTGGTATTTGTTTCCTGAACTTTATAAAAATAGGTCAAGTTTATAGCATAGCCCACTGTGAAGAGTAAAGATCTTTGGTATTCTATAATAAATTATTTGGAGAGGAAAAAACACTTAAATTTCAGGGCAATTATTGAGCCTAGGAATTTAGGACTAATAGCCACACTGGAAGCTAGTTTGAAATGTTATTAATGGTTACTTTGGTGTTATATTACCAGGTTCTTAAAATGATCCAATTGATTTTTAGATGATGGAAGAAGATTGAGTGAAATTAAAAAAAAACAAAAAACAATGATGTCATTGAGATGGATTTTACAGGGACAAGTAGAGCAGCTGAGTTCTGTCTCAGCTTTGTGTGTGATTTATGAATTAGCCTTGGGTAAGTCACTCATCTCTCTGCCTCAGTTTCCTTGTCTACCAAATAAGAGTGTCACCCTCAGTAACCTGAGGTTCCTTCAAACTATTAACTATAAGTAGTGATTCTGGACCTCTTCCCCCCTCACCCAGATTAGACACATACCTGTGGGGTCATATTCCAGTCTCAGGAGCTGTCGTGTGTGTGTGTGTGTGTGTGTGTGTGTGTGTGTGTGTGTGTGTGTTGTTGTTGTTGCTTTTATATCAAGGTACCAGTATAGATAAAAATAATAGATGTAGCTTATGCATAAGTCCCACCCCCCCTTTCACTGCAATGATTATCACTTTTACATCAAGAAGCACAGCTCTGGAGAACTTTGCCACTTGAAAGATTTTTTAAAAATTTAAATGCATCAATTTAAAAAAAATTAATATACTTCTATTAATAAACTGGGGGGGCCAGTTATATATTCCAAATATGCTATGTAGTTCTACCAAAATGAAAAAACAACACCCAGCAAACATCCCCCTTCTAGGAGTCTTCAGAAAGCAGCCCTCCCTTGCTTAATGGACATCCGGTCACTCTGAGCAGCTGTTGTCTGGTGGCTGCAGGCCACAGTGGTCCAGAGTGACCAGGTCTGCCCAGAGGCTGATTGCACAGTCACTCCTTGCAACTGGAAAGGGAGAGCTGTTTGGTTTCCTAAGAGAAAGAGAAACACCTGCTGGTATAATGAAGTTTAATTTATCATCTCAAAGCCCCTCTTCCTGGCAGTGAGACCCATGTAGATGCCCAGCCAGCCCCCCGGGGGCTTGTGTCTGTAGAGGATCCACGTTCTCCTAGAGCAGTTCTCTTCCTCGGTGTGCGGTGTGCGGTGTGCGGTGTGCGGTGTGCGGTGTGCGGTGTGCGGTGTGCGGTGTGTGGTGTGCGGTGTGTGGTGTGCAGTGCGAATAGGAAGAGCAGCACTCCCTCTGCCTGTCAGGAGCCAGGCTGTCCCATCAGGTAGCAGCACCTCCCCCACTACGTGCTCTGCGCACTGAAATGGCACCTGCTAGAGCATCCCCATGAAACTCAGCACTGATGACAGCGTCCCACTCGCCTGTCGCCTGCACTGCAGCGCACTCAAGTGTCAGCTGCTGGCAAAGCATGTAAGACAGCCAGTCACATAGAAACATGGGAGCTGTACAGGGGTTAGCACAGCCCTTCTGGCCACTTCTGTAAGAAGGGAATTGGTGTGAAACTAGAAAAGAAGCAAACTTGGACCCCAGATCAGAGGACTCACCACGGGAAGAAAGGTCTTCAGAGGGTTACAAGGCTTTGTATCAAAGGCCCAGAGAGCTATCACCTGGATCTCCCCTGTCCCTTGAGATTGAATGAGCTCAGCTTCACATTCCGCAGTCTGTGGAAACCTGAATTCTGTGGCCATTGAGGACTTGGGGTCTCTGCCTCAGCTCTTGCTTCTCTCTCTGGTATCTTAGCTTGGCAGCTTATCAGGTTGATTATGAACAAGCATTTGTGAGCATGATAGACACAAACAAAAAGTTGGTGCTGTTGAGGAGAATCACATTTCCTATCCCATAATGGTCTAGTTCAGTGGTCAGCAAACTCATTAGTCAACAGAGCCAAATATCAACAGTACAACGATGGAAATTTCTTTTGAGAGCCACATTTTTTAAACTTAAACTTCTTCTAACGCCACTTCCTCAAAATAGACTCGCCCAGGCTGTTGTATTTTGTGGAAGAGCCACACTCAAGGGGCCAAAGAGCCACATGTGGCTCGAGAGCCGCAGTTTGCCCACCATGGGTCTAGTTGACAGACCATATTAGGCTTTCCTGTTCTCTTAGCCTTATACTCTAGGACCAGCAGCACCTGCAGAACCTGTTGCTTGTTAGAAATGCAGGAGTTTGCGCCCCATCCGACTTGCTAGCTCAGAATCCAGATTTTGGCCTGCTGTCAGGAGATTCAGTTCACTCCAGTGTGAGGAGCACAGGGCTAGTCCTTTTCTGTCATCTCACCTTAGGCCCTGGCCCTCGCTCTCATCTTCTCTCTCTTCCTCCTCTTCCCTCTCTCTTGTCCTCTCATCTCCCTCCCTCCCTGTCAGGAGCTACAGACAAACTCTTTGAGTCATGACAGAGCAGGCCCCTTCACTGGAGCCTCAGAGCCAGTCACCACGTGGCTCCGAAGATCTCACCTTACCAGCCCTCAGTCCTAATCCCAGCTGTGATCCAGTGTCTGTCTAAACCAGGTCCCCTTCTTAAAGTGATTCTCACACCTGCTACTTTGAGAAGAGAAATCTCTCCATCTCATTATAAAACATATCCCGGATTTTATAAAGATATCTGGTTTCCAAACAGACCCCTAAATACAAGCTGTCGTGTAAGTGTAGAGCTGGAGGAGCTGAGTCTTCTGCAGGAAGGTGACTCGCTCAAGGTCATACTGTGGTTATTGGCGGAGGCAGGACCAGAAAAGGTCTTCTACATCCCAGGGCAGGCTTCTCTCCTTTTAGCTGATCCTTCAAATGGCTACCGGATTCTCTTCCCGAGGTGATTTTGTGAATTTGACTCCAAAGACTTCTTAAGAATCAGCCCATCTTGTGGGCCTCAGCTGAAAAAGAGTAGGTTTGGGTCATTAGCTAGCGCTCTCAGGGGCAGGGTTGCGATCACACAAGTGTGTTACGATCAGTTGTGAGGTGCTTTGAAATTTTTCCCTGGTTGTCTGTTCTGTGTGTCTCAACAGGCTGACCTACAGAAGATTCTTTTCAGCTCCATCATCTTACGAGCTATAAGGCTCGGTCGGAGAAAAGACTGCTCTCAAAAATGTGAACCTCCAACTCCCTCCTGTGTGATATGGTAGCTCCTCTTAGAATTTAAATCTCACTCAGGAACCTTGTGTGGGTAACGTTATTTTTTTTCCTCTTCCTCTTTGGCTTTGCTTCAGGAAGCGAGAGGAAGAAAACAAGCGAAGAGAGTCAGAACAGCAGAAGGGAAGACTGAGTCCAGATTCCTGCAGGCCCCAGGCCCCTCCGTGTCTGCCCGGCACCCAGGCTGAGCCCCCCGGGCAGAGCGGGGGCCCCAGCAAACAGCCTCCCGCCAGCCATGCGGCCCAGAGCCCTGAGCGGAGAATCTGCAGAGGGTCTCTGGGCAGAGCCCCAGAGCAACACCTCTCCCCAGACTTGCAGGGAACAGACCCCAGGAAGCCAAATGGTGGGTGCATTGCCTTTGTTATCCGATGCCGACCTGTGGACTGTGGGCCCTTTTATAGGTGTACACATAGACCATTTACATTTAATATACTTATGTCCGCACTTAAGCCTGCCATTTTATTATTTATTTTCTATTTATTTCTCTAGTTCTCATTCCTGTTTTTCTTTTCCCCTCGCTTCCCCCCCCCCCCCTTCCTGTGGGTTACTCAGACTTCCTTTAGGATTCCATCGTGATTGATCTGTGGTGTTTGTGAGTAGATCTCTCTAGTTTCTGCAGTAGTTGCTCTGAATGTCACAAAATACATTAGTGACATGACAGTCTTTGGTATCAGCATCTTACCATAGAATGAAATGTGGGAACTTCACTTTCCTTTAGATGCCTGTACCTTCCCCACCTTTAAATGTCTTTGCCTGGAATCAGATGGTTTTCTAGTTTTTGTTTCAGTCATGAAATATAATTTATAAAACTCAGGAGGAGAAGGATAGTCTATTTTATGTACCCATATTTTTTATTTTCTTGAAGACACTATGGTGCTTTTAAAAAGAATGCTTACTCTACTAGTATTTTAACCAGCATTTCTAGGTATGTGTAGTGGGAAGGCTTTCAGATGATCAAACTACTCTTGCTAGAACTAGAAGTTAACCTTTCACCACAATCAAGGTAATGCTATCAGATGGGTCTGAACATTTTGTGTACATAAATGGGCAGACTTGCCCTACTGTACAAGCTTTGAACCATAAATATTGTTTCCCCTTTTCTTTGTTTTCCCAAGAAACATCCAGAGAACCTTCTAAAGGCCGATCTGCCTGTGTCCACTTCAGCCCCGATGAAGGCCACGATGGGCACAGGTGCCCAGGAGTCTCCTGTGCTGAGAAGCCCAGAGGGGAGAGCGTGGGCGAGCAGCACTGTGACAAGGGGAAAGGCTCCGGGAGGCAGCCCCCCTGTGCCAGGGCTGCTGGGCCTGAGGAGAAGGGAGAGGACGCCGGCGGGGCAGCTGCCAGCCTTCCCCAGCAGGACGGCCCCCGGAAGCCCTGCAGGCAGCATGACGCAGCCCCCAAGGTCAAGTGTGGCTCCCAGAAAAGGCGCATTCAGGAGCTCCGAGGAGGGAGGTGCTCCCCAGCTGGTTCTAGCCGGCCTGGCAGTGCCAAGGGGGAGGTGGCCCATGCCGGGCAGAGTCCTCTCCACCATCGGACACCAAGACACAAAGGGACACAGGACAAGCTCGAAGGAGAGAGCTACTCAGACCCGCCCCGGAGGACAGAGGCGTTGAGGCCAGGAGTCAGGAAGGCGGGGCCGTCCACCCCATCCGAGGACGCTCGGACGCCTAAGGAGACACATCCCGCTCCCGGGCCCCTCTCCGGGCAGAGTGTGAACATCGACCTTCTTCCTGTGGAGCTGCGGCTGCAGATCATCCAGAGAGAACGAAGCAGGAAAGAGCTGTTTCGCAGAAAGAACAAGGCAGCAGCCGTCATCCAGCGGGCCTGGAGGAGGTGAGGAGAGCCTGTGTTTGCCCCACACCCTGCCACACCTGTGCTCGCGGGTGTTTCCCCGGGAATTCTGTGTGCTGGCCTGACAAGGCCAATTGTTGAGCCAAACCATGAAATTCCCACCTGTAGACCCCAGTCATTCACACTGGATACGCTATTTAGGTGTTTTTGCCAAGAAAGAGAGGAAAGCACACAGGGTTGCGTGGTGTAAAGAAAAGAGTCCTCGGGGGATGCTCTCACAGGTGATCGGACCTTGGGCAAATCACTTGGCCTCCCTGACCCTCAGTTTCCTCACCTGGAAATGGGATTGAACAGTGGCTGCACCTGTCCTGTTATGGGACAGATTGTAGAATGAGATAATGTGTGCTTCATGAATTCTAAAGCCACACACACAGATATTTTATTTTTATTTTTATGTTTTTACTTTTCAGGAATTAGCCATTCCCCAAATAAAAACTAGGGCCTGGATATAGTCGATTCATTGGCTGAAATGATAAAAACCTGCGTTAGCGTCTCTCACGCTCAGAATGCAGAGTGGGTGTGGGAGAACGGGTGGAGACTTCCTAACATGCTGAGTCAGACGCCTGCAGGGAGTCCTTTGCTGCAGGTTTTGACATATTTTGGGCTCTCCTTCATATTGCAAGCCCCCCCTGGGGCCCAAATCCTGCCCAGGTCTTACCGCGCTGGCCAGTGCCCGGGGGGCGGGCTGGGCCGTCTCCCACAGGTGGGAGTCACGCGGCCTCCCTCTCTGCAGGGAGGAAGGTCGGTGGAGGAACAAAGCAAGCGAATCACTGAGCACAGGTGTGCCACATATCAATGTGCCTGTCAGGAGATAAAAGGGCCCGAGCGCACCCACCATTGGCGGGGGAGGGGAAGAGTAGTGAGGGGGGCAGTTACTGTGAGGTCCAGGCGGGGCGAGGCCCCAGGGTCCATGGTGCCAAAGCGGCCTGACGCAGAGCCCTTGCTGGCACAGCCTTTGCTCTACTTCGGGATGTCTGTCCGAGGCCTGGGCTGTTTGCAGGGTCGTCTTCCAGCCACACAGGGCTGAGCGTCCCCATTTCACGGATGAGCATGTGGTCTTAGAGAGGAAATGGCTTGTCCCAGGGGCGCGGGTCCAGCACCTGGGGCTGCGTCTGACTCAAGGCCCCAGGTCTTTCCCGTACTTTGGTGGTAACGGGAGGGTTTGCGTGGCCACAACGAAGAAGGTGGCGGCAGGCCTGGTGCTCGGCATCCCGGAGAGGGCTGCCTGGGTGCTCGCCCCCGCCAAGGTAACGTTGCTCCGGGGGATGTTGTTGTTAATGCTAACCGTTGGCATTGGCATTGAGTGGGCACTTGTGCCGGGCACTGTGCTGAGCTTTACTTGTACTGTTAAACTCACCTAATCTTCACAATAACGTTGAGAGGCGGATCCTCTCCCCACCCCGTTCCCCACAGGCCGACACTGAAGCGCTGCCAGCTTCTCGGTCCTCGCAGGTCCCCGTGCCGGCTTGGGCTCGGGCTGCCTCTGAAGCCACAGGTGGGAGTTGGCCTTGCTCCTCTGCTTGGGAGCTCTGCCAGGACCTGCCCTGCTGCTGTCTGAGAGGCAGGTTTTATTAGGCATTTCAGCCAAAACCTGGGACCTGGACAAGCCAGCGGGTTTTGCACCACGCCATGCCCGGAGCTGCTCCCCCGCTGACATGCCTCCGTCAGACTGGCCTCTGGCTCCTTTGAAGAGTTGGAAGCTGACAGGTCCTGTCAGTGTGCCCACAGCAGCAAATGAGCTTTCAGTCATTGCCCTCGAACAATGGGCTCATAGTCTGGGCCCCCCGGGGAGGCAGTTCCGCAGCCCCCCTCTGTGCAGCCTGAGCCCCGGGCATCAGCTCCCACAGGCTCCTGGGGAAGTGCAGGCTGTGGGAAGCCATGTCTGGAGTCAGTGAAAACACTTCCACTGATGCTGGTATGGCCTTCCACACCTTTCATGGAAAGGACAGGAGCCCAGAGTGCTGTCTGGGGGCAGTGCAGTGCAGTGCGTGGCGCCGCCTGACCTCAGGAGCCGTTGGGTGGACCGGGAACGGGGCTGGCCCAGAGGCTCCGTCACTGCGGCTGCTGGTACAGGAGGGCAGTGTGGAGGGGAGAGGCAGGCTGCAGGGGGTGCCAGGATGGGGTGAGAGGTCGAACCCCAGGGCCCAGAGGAAATGAAGCTTAGCCTCAGTGAGTTTTATTGCCAGTCAAGCCTTGACTGTTTTGAAGATTGAAGCCAGATACGGGACAAGCCAAGCTGGGCTGGAAAATGGCTGTAAAACATTTCTTTGTGCGCCAACATGCGTAAGGCACCTTTCTGTCCGCTCCTTGCCAGCGTGTGCTGAGCCCTATCCAGCAAGGGGAGGCGGGCCAGGAGAGCCCTGAGCCCGGGGCTGAGAGGAGTGGGCATGCTAGGTTTCTCAGCCACCAGGAGTGCAAGTTCTCCTGGAGAATGGGGCCCCTGGGCCATGGAGCACAGGCCCAGGCTCCATGCAGAGTAGGTTAGGGGAAGCCGTGCCCACTGAAGGCCGGAGCCACTGCCACTTCAGCCAACACCTGGGCTTCCAGGAGTCCTCTGCCCGGAGCACAGAGGGTGTGCAAGACACTTGGCATCTCAAACAAATGGAACTGAGCTACTCCTGGTGCTGTCCTGTAACTCCAGCTTGTCTCCTCAGCTGGCTTTTTGGAAGTAGTGGTACTTCCTGTGGTAGAGGGACGGCATGGTTTGTCGCTCCAGGTAAAGACTGGCAGACCTGTAGTTTGGCTGAAATCAGCCTTTCGGGGCAGAAGAGAGGGGTTGCACCGGGCGCTCCAAGGAGCTTTTGGGAGACTTGGGAAGGTCCTTGCCCATTTGGTGTGCCTTGAAATCAGCCCGGGGCCTGCCCCTCTGCAGCACCCTGTGGGCTCAGCAGTAGTCAGTCAGCTACAGAGAAGGAAGACAACAGCTTTCCCTGCGAGGCTCCAGAGCAGCTGTGTTCAATAGGAAGTCTGGGAGTGCACGTGAATGAACACCATCAGATAACACGAGACATAAATACAGCCTTTACCTGTATCACCCCAGGCTCTACAGATCTTAGTAAAATACAGCTCTTACCTGTGCCATCATTCTTAAGAACCAGTGGGGGTGCCTTCCAGGAACAGAGCACAGGCCAAAGTCCTCGGCCACACTTCGCTGTTGGGCCACAGAGCACTGAGTTTGAATGTTGGTCTATCCCAGTGGTCGGCAAACTCATCCGTCAACAGAGCCAAATATCAACAGGACAACGATTGAAATTTCTTTTGAGAGCCAAATTTTTTTAAACTTGAACTTCTTCTAACGCCACTTCTTCAAAATGCTCGCCCAGGCCGTGGTATTTTGTGGAAGAGCCACACTCAAGGGACCAAAGAGCCGCATGTGTCTCTCGAGCCGCAGTTTTCAGACCACTGGTCTATCCTGACTCTAGCTGTGCGGCCTTCTACAAGTTACTCAGCCTCCCCACCCCAGTTTGAGAGAGATAATTGACATACACTCTCTAAGTAAGAGTGCTACATACTTAGCACTCTCTAAGTTTAAGGCGTAAAGCATAGTGACTCAACTTACATCTATTGTGAAATGGTTACCGTGGTAATGTTAGTTACATCTATCTCATTTTTTTTTAAATGGAAAAGATTTTATTTCCTTGTGATGAGGACTCTTAAGATTTACTCTCTTAACAACTTTCATATATTCCAAAAAGCAGTGTCAGTTATACATTACATTACAACTCCAGTACTTACTTATCCTATAACCGGAAATTTGTACATTTTGACCATCTTCGCCCAAGTTTCCTTCCTTCCCCCTCTCTCTTATAGCCATAGATCTGATCTCTTTTTCTATGAGTTTGATTGTCTTTGGTTTATTTTTAACACCGCACAAATGAGATAATCCAGTGTTTGTCGTTCTCCGTCTGATTTAATTTCACTTAGCGTAATGCCCTTAAGTTTCATGCGTGTTGTTGCAAATGATAGGATTTCCTTCTTTTTTATACCAGAGTAAATTCCATTGTTTTTGTCACCTCTTTCTTCTTTCATGTGTCAGTGGACACTCTGGTTATTTCCCTCACCTGACTATTGTAATGCTGCTGTGAACTTGGGGTGTAGAATAGATATCTCTTCCACAGACTATTTTAATTTCCTTAGTTTTATGCGCAGGTATGGAGCTGCAAATCACATGGTAGCTCTATTTTTATTTTTTGGAGGAACCTCCATATTGTTTTCTCTAGATAATGGGTTGTACCAATTTAAAATCCTACCCACTGTGCACGAAGGTCCCCTTGCTTCCACATCCTCGCCAGCATTCATCTCTTGTCTTTTTGATGCCTTTTATTTATTTTTTGTCTGATTTCTGTGGCTAGGACTTCCAGTACTATGTTGAATAGTAGTATTGAGAGTAGACATCCTTGTCTTGTTCCTGATATTAAAGGACTTGTTTTTTTCATCCTTTCAACATTGAGTTTGATGTTAACTAATGGGCTTCTCATATATGGATGGTCTTTATGATGTTGAGGTCCATTTCTTCTATACCTGTTTTGTTAAGGGATTTTATCATACAGATAATTCCGTTCTGTCAAATGCTTTATCTGCGTCTTTTGTGATTTTTTTTATTCTATTAATGTGATGTTTCACATTGATAGACTTATGTATGTTGAACCATCCTGCATTCCAGGGATAAATCCCATTTGGCCAGGAGGAATTATCCCTTTAAGTGTATTGCTGAATTTGGTTTAGTAGTATTTTTTGAGAATTTTTTTAACTTATGTTCCTCAGGGATATTGGTTTATAGATTTCTTGTAGTGTTCTTTTTTGGATTTGATGTCAGAATAATTCATGAAGTGAGTTTGGGACTCTTCCTGCCTCTGTGAACTTTTAGAAGAGTTTGAGAAGGATTGGCACTAATTCTTTTTATTTATTTATTTAGGATCTTTTTAATATTAATTTATCCTTTAAAATTTTTTGACATTAATCCTTTTTAAATGTTTAGTAAA